GCCATTGCACTCCAGCCTGGGTAACAAGAGCGAAACGCTGTCCCAAAAAAAAAAAAAAAAAAAAAAAGAGGCTTCAGGGCCAGGTGCAGTGGCTCACACCTGTAACCCCAGCACTTTGAGAGGCTGAGGCGTGGCATGGCGGGGGTGGGACTGGTGGTGAGGGAGGAATCACAAGGTCAAGAGATCAAGACCATCCTGGCCAACATGGTGAAACTCCGTCTCTACTAAAAATACAAAAATTAGCTGGGCGTGGTGTCTGTAGTCCTAGCTACTTGGGAAGCTGAGGCAGAATTGCTTGAACCCGAGGTGGAGGTGGCAGTGAGCTGAGATCGTGCCACTGCACTCCAGCCTGGCAACAGAGCAAGACTCTGTCTCAAAAAAATAATAAATTAATTAAACTTTAAAAAATAAAAATAAAAGAGGCTTCAGGCCTGGACAGTGACTCACACCTGTAATCTCAGCATTTGGGATGCAGAAACAGGTGGACTGCTTGAGGTCAGGAATTCAAGGCCAGCCTGGGCAACATGGTGAAAACCCATCTCTACAAGACACAATTAGCTAGGCATGGTTGCTTGCACCTGTGGTTCCAGCTATTCAAGAGGCTGAGGTGGGAGAATCACTTGAGCCTGGGAGGTTGAGGCAGTGAACTTTGATCATGATGCCTGGACGACAGAGCAAGACCCTGCATCCAAAAAAATAAAAATTAAAAAAAGCTGCCTGGCCCTTCCATCCTTCTACCATAAGGCCACTGTTCATTCCCTACGGAAGATGCAGAAAAAAGTTACCATCTCGGACCAGAGAGCTGCCCTTGCCAGACACTGAACCTACTAGCACCTGGATCTTGCATTTGCCAGCCTCCGCAACTGTGATTCCTATTATTCATAGGTTACCCAGTATCTAAGGTATTCTGTTACAGCAGCAGGAACAAACTAAGACCCTAAAACTTTCAGAAAGATTCATTTAGCTTTCTGGTGAAGTGAGGGTTTGACAACCCATCTTTTTGTTGTTTCATTATGTTCCCAAATTCTTTCCTGATTTTGCAAACATAGTACAATGAGCCTCACAATGTTCCACAGATTGCGCAAGGTCTCCTGGTGGCTATTTTCAACAGCAATATGCTGTCCAGCCCTGTAGAAAACAATTTTTGACCATCTAGCAGAATAGCTGACCAGGCTTTTAATCTGTAACAGCATAAGGTTGCTTTAGCCAAGTAATTCCCTAGCGTGAGTCGTTTTAAATCTGCTTTTAATCACTTTGATAACTACCATTGATTAGTGCCTAACTATATGCTGGGGCATTACATACTTCTCAGGTAGCTCACAGAACCCCTGGCACATACGTGGAAACGCCAGTAAAGATGGTACTGTGCTCCTAGGTTGCCATCTAGCACATGCCTGCATCGTAACTCTGGGCTGCCTTCCAAGTCTCTTTCCATTCCACTACATTAGTGCCAATCAGCACATGTAAGTGCCTCAAGATATAACTCCGCAGTACTCACATCAGCAGCACGAACACCCAAACTGGAACAATACGGAGAAGACAGCAATGGCCACTGCCCAAGAATGACATGCAAATCCATCAAGCATTAAAAAATAAATAAAAGTTAACTCTGCAGATTTAAGGAGTAGGCGATTTCATTTATTTTCAAAGTCTGATACTATCAGTTGGTATGCTACCAAATTCTGCACTGATTTCTATGAAGCAAGCTGACTTAATTATCTGTCTATACTAGCTCATCTGCCTGAGATGCTAAGAATAGTGAACATTTACTGGAACATACTGTAAGTCAGACACCTCTAGGCTCTTCATAATTTCCTCTTCATTCAACCTTCTCAAAATATCCATGGGGAGATACTATTATTATCCACATTTCATAATTGAGAACACCAATGAGGCTTAAAGAAGTGAAGTTGCTTAAGGATAAAAAGATTATTTCCTTCAAACATTGATCGAGAATATTTATTATTTAGAAATCATGTCAGCCAGGCGCGGTGGCTCATGCCTGTAATCCCAGCACTCTGGGAAGTTGAGGCGGGTAGATCATCTGAGGTCAGGAGTTTGAGACGAGCCTGGTCAGCATGGCGAAACGCTGTCTCTACTATCAATGCAAAAAATCAGTCATGCGTGGTGGAGGGCACCTATAATCCCAGCTACTTGGGAGGCTGAGGCAGAGAACTGCTTGAACCTGGGAGGTGGAGGCTGCAGTGAGCCAAGATTGGGCCATTGTACTCCAGCCTGGGCAACAGACCCAGATTCTGTCTCAAAAGAAAAAAAAAAAGGAAAGAAATCATGTTTTCGGAAACTGTATTTATAAAAATAAGAATTTTTTATTTTTCCCTTATCTAGTAGCAAACATAAAACTATGCTGACTGTAAAAGCCAACACTATTCTTTCTCCTTTTTCCTTGGATCACAAGTTCGTATACAGTCAAGCAAATGCCCCCAAAAACCCCCCCCAGAATTCAAGAGGTGTATTTCCTTCAGAAAAATCAAAGCTAGAATCTTCAGCTATTAAAGTGTTTCCCCCCAGGCTGAGATCAAGTGACTTCATTGCAGTGGCTCAAGAGTAGCTGACTCCCTCCTTCCAAATCAGCCCATCATAGAACACCTATTGCTAAGTAGCAAGCCAGAGGCTTAGACTGGAGACTTCAGTGTTCAGAACTTCAAGCCTGGCCTATGAAGTAAAAATTTTTTAAAGTACAATTGCAACTTTATTTTTCTCCAAAGAATTGTTTTTCTTCAGTCCTTAAGAACTCCGCTCCTTATATCGGCTTTGGTGGGGGTCATGGGGCAGCACCTGCAGGTCTACATTGGGTGGAGGTGTTTGGTCCTTGCAGGCTTCATGAGCTCGATTCCTGACTACTGTGCTGTGAATGGCACAACTCACAGTAACGTAGCCTCACATGCAGCCTATGAAGTACACAGGCATCAAGGACGCCCACTTCAGAAACATTGCTAACACAGTAATGTAGTCTCACATCCAGCCTATGAAGTACACAGGCGTCAAGGACACCCACTTCAGAAACATTGCTAACTGCTGCAGCCTCTACGTTTCATTTCTTAAAAGCCTTGTCATTGGGCGCACAATGGGCATAGTTCATGCAGCAAATAGGTTGGAGTGAATAGTGTACACCTGGCTGCAGCCTTCTTTAGCACGACCACTGTTTCTTCTTTTCTTTGTCATCTTTGAGGTACAGGCCCAAGAAAGATGAAGAAGAATCTTAATTTGAGGGTGACTAAATGCTTCCTTCAAGACCACTTGCCCCAAATCCACATTCTGCAAGACAGTTCAAGAAAAAAGGCAAAGTAGCCATCTCGCTCAAGGCTATGGGCTCCACAATACTTAGCACAGTTGTCCCCAAGTGTAAACACTTCCTAGGGCACGCTTCTTCCCTGTCCCCCAGGTTAGACACAATAATACCAAGGCGTTCTGTCATGGACACTCTCATCCTTTAAGGTGGTGCACACCTGTGGCCCCAGCTATTTGGGAGGCTGAGGCAGGGCGGTCAAGGCTGCAGTGAGCCGTGACTGTACCACAGCACTCCTCTAGCCTGGGCAAGAGTTAAGACCCTATCTCCATTAAGACAAAAACAAGTATTTCAAACAATAACAGCGGTTTAATTATTCCTTTGGCATCTAGGTAAAACAGGTCTTTCTCTATAAAGCCTACTATGTTGTGGTCTAGTTTCAAAAAGTATAAACGTACTGAAATTAAAACGTGAAATATTGGCCGGGCGCGGTGGCTCAAGCCTGTAATCCCAGCACTTTGGGAGGCCAAGGTGGGCGGATCACGAGGTCAAGAGATCGAGACCATCCTGGCCAACATGGTGAAACCCGGTCTTACTAAAAATACAAAAATTAGCTGGGCATGGTGGCAGGTGCCTGTAGTCCCAGCTACTTGGGAGGTTGAGAATTGCTTGAACCCGGGAGGTGGAGGTTGCAGTGAGCCGAGATTGTGCCACTGCACTCCAGCCTGGTGCCTGGCAACAGAGTAAGACTCTGTCTCAAAAAAAAAAAAAAGTGAAATATTAATAAAAGATGATGTGGAGGCCAAAAACCATGAATGAGGTAGTCAATAGTGTGGCTTATATGACACACCCACCTCACACTTCCCAGAGGCACGTTCGGGAAAGCCACTAGCAGCCACTGCACAAGGCTGCTCCAAGATTACAGGTCACCTGGGCCTATGAGTTACTTGAAACAGCAACCTAACCCAATGCCAAGCTGGGCTGTTTTCTCCAAGGGAATTCTCAACTGTCTTCTGCAGTAGAATTTCTGTGCAAGTCAGCCCCAGACCCTGGGAAAGTGGTGTTACGCCTGGGGACATGGTTTCTCTGAGAAGCAGGGATGTTTGGAGATTAATACTGAAAGCTGCGCTTCGTCTGGATATCGTCAAGAATCTGCTGCAGTTCCTCATCTTCAAACCGCCCCTCCAAGCTACAAGAAAACCGAAAGAATGAGTGACTCGGCAACTGGCAATTTCCTTACGCTCTCCTTTGAGGCGTGATAATCTACTGCCTCTATCTCTAACACCTTTACCTTTCACCTGTATTTCTTTTCCAATTTCCTGAAAAAACCATTACAAAATATTTCCAACATGTAAAAGAGAAAAGGTATAAAAAATAAACCTTTACAGTTAGCCCCACTTGACTCAGAGTGCTTTTTTTTTTTTTTGAGATGAAGTCTCACTCTGTCGCTCAAGCTGTAGTGCAGTGGCATGATCTTAGCTCACTGCAACCTCAGCCTCCCAGGTTCAAGCAATTCTTAAAGAGTTCTTTTATTTATTTATTTTTAAATTTTTATTTATTTTTTGAGAGGGAGTTTCACTCTTGTCCTCCAAGCTGGAATGCAGTGGCATGATCTTGGCTCACTGAAACCTCCCCCTCCTGAGTTCAAGTGATTTTCCTACCTCAGCCTATTGAGTAGCTGGGATTACAGACAACCGCCACCACGCCCAGCTAATTTTTACGATTTTAGTAGAGACAGGGTTCCACCCTGTTGGCCAGGCTGGTATGAAAGTCCTGACCTCAGGTGATGTGCTCACCTCAGCCTCCCAAAGTGCTAAGATGACAGGCGTGAGCCACCGCGCCCGGCCAGAGTTCTTTAACAAGCAGGAAAAGTGGATGGCTACGCATACTACCCTAGACCTACACCTTCCCTTCTTCCCCAGGAATAACCACAATTTATCATTGCCATACATTTAAAATTTTATTTGCCACATATATATTTATACTTACTATACATTTATGGATATATAATATGCAGCAGTTTCAAACTTTATAAGAAATGGCATCATACTGTATTTATCCTTCTGCAATTTTTTTCCTCAAAATTCATTCTGGCATACGTTGATATAATTCTTTTTTTTTTTTTTTTGAGACGGAGTTTCGCTCTTGTTACCCAGGCTGGAGTGCAATGGCGCGATCTCGGCTCACCGCAACCTCCGCCTCCTGGGTTCAGGCAATTCTCCTGCCTCAGCCTCCTGAGTAGCTGGGATTACAGGCACGCACCACCATGCCCAGCTAATTTTTTGTATTTTTAGTAGAGACGGGGTTTCACCATATTGACCAGGATGGTCTCAATTTCTTGACCTCGTGATCCACCCGCCTCGGCCTCCCAAAGTGCTGGGATTACAGGCTTGAGCCACCGCGCCCGGCCTACGTTGATATAATTCTATGTTGTTCTAGCGCATTTTTTTCACTGCTGTACAATAAACACTGTTATGACTATACAATGATTCATTTATCCATTTTCTTATTGATCAAGAGACTATCAAATTTCTGCTATCATTAACAATGCAGCATGAGGCTGGGCGCCGTGGCTCATGCCTGTAATCCCAGCACTTTGAGAGGCCGAAACAGGCAGATCACCTGAGGCCAAGAGTTTGAGATCAGCCTGGCCAACATGGCAAAACCCCATGTCTACTTCAAAAAAAAAAAAAAATGCAGCAATGAACACTGTAATATACATCTCCTTGGAAACTTGTATGAGTTACCTTTAGGATACGTACTCAGGCAGCTTGGCCAAGATGGCAAAACCCCATCTCTACTAAAAATACAAAAATTAGCCAGGTGTGGTGGCAGGCACCTGTAATCCCAGCTACTCAGGAGACTAAGGCAGGAGAATCGCTGAACCCAGGAGGTAGAGGTTGAATTGAGCCGAGGTCGCACCACTGCACTCCAGCCTGGGTGACAGAGTGAGACTCTGTCTCAAAAAAAAAAAGATACGTACCCAGGAATGGATTTTTGGAACATGGAGTACGTTCATCTTTACTAGACATAGCCAAATTGCTCTTCAAAATGATTGTTCTAATTAACACTCCTACCATCAGTATATGAAGTTTCAGCTGTTCCTTATTTTTGCTATCACTTGGTATCACTCTCACTGTTAAAACGACACTTTAATTCAATATTGGCAATTATGTATACAAATATAAAATGCATAAACGTTTTAGACACACCAATTATATCTGCAGAAATTTATCCAGTATACAGAGAACTTCTCACAGCTAGTACTAACCTTGGGATTAGAGCCTTGGACTCCTCAGCAGTCTCTGGGCAAAGGTTGGCCAGACAGGCCAACTCAAACTTATGAAGCTTTTTCTGGAGTAGCAAGCTGATCAACAGGGGAAAAAAAAAAAATCAAAACAAATTAAAACCAAATAAACAACAAAAATCAAACAATAATCAACAGGAAAAAAGGGATCAAATGTAGCTAGCATTTAAAAATAGCTAGACAGCTGGGTGTGGTGGCTCACGCCTATAATTCCAGCACTTTGAGAGGCCAAGGTGGGCGGATCACTTGAATGAGGAGTTCGAGACCAGCCTGAGCACCGTGGCAATACTCCATCTCTCTTAAAAATACAAAAATTAGCCAGGTGTGGTGGTGTGTGTCTGTAGTCCCAGCTACTTCGGAGGCTGAGGCATGACAATCGCTTGAACCCGTGAGGCAGAGGTTGCAGTGAGCCAATATTGCACCACTGCACTCCAATCTGGGTGACGATGCAAGATTCTGTCTCAAAAATAAAAAAAGGCAGAGGAGGCTGGGCATAATGGCTCGTGCCTGTAATCCTAGCAGTTTGGGAGGCCAAGATGGGAGGATCACTTGAGCCCAGGAGTTCAAGACCAGCCTGGGCAACATAGTCTCTAAAATAAATACATACATACATAAAATAAAAATAGCTACAGAAGTCTTCAAATGTTCCTAATACATAATCAATATCCTAAACACCCTAACATACTCATTGTATATTCTAAGTAACAAAGTATCACATGTACCTCATAAGTATGTACAAATACTATTATTTTAAAAAATGTAGGCTGGGCATGGTGGCTCACCTCTAATCCCAGTGCTTTG